TCTGGCTATTGCTGCAAGTGCAAAGTGTCTATTCTAAGAGCTCATATGCAGGTAGTTGAAATTTCCAAAATTTTTAGGAAGGATACCTTGTTATCATTAGTGTTGCCTGGAATTGGACATTGTTTTCCATTGTCAATACTTTTCAGTGATTCATTATTTTTACTTTTGCCTTTTTTTTGGCCATGCCACACAGCTTGTGGGATCTTAGTTCCTGGACCAGGGACTGAACCCTGGCTCCAGCAGTGAAAGCACTGAGTCCTAACCACTGGACTGCCAGGGAATTCCCACTTTTGCTTTATTTTTAATTCGTTGTGGGTCATTTGGTTAAGGGCCACAAAGAAATATTAAGTTGAGAACTTCTGATCTCAATTCTAGAGTCTTCATGGGATTACAGAAATGGGAATGAGCTCATAAAATTTAGTTCTACTCTTATTTTCTAGCAAAAAGTGAATTTCAAGCTAATAAATTTGTACAGAACATAAATTTCAAGACAAAAAACATGACAAGTGGTTAAATATTTCTCCCTTTACTCCCACTATACATATTAGACTGTTTCCAAGGCTTACTATCTTAAGAAAAATATATGAGTAATTTATTAGTTAACCATCTATTAGTATGAATACCTATTAAGAGGAAAATAATTCAATAGATTTTTATGATTTGTATTTTGAATCTTAATAGAAGTATATGATAGAAAATGTAAAAGGTACTAAGTCTCCCTCTCACTCCTGTGCTCAACCCATCTTATCCCCTCTCTTCTTAAAGACAGCCTCTCTTTCCAGTTTCTTATGCGTCTTTTCAGGTATATGGGCCTGTGGGATGAAACAAGGTTCCTCTGAACAGGACTCCTCAACATATGGTCAAGACAAAACCACTACAGATACATATCTGGGCCATCCACATCTAAGTTTAAAAAAAAAAAATATCCCGTACAATGGCAGCAGGGATCTTAGTAATCTGTGAGAACATAAGCAAAGCTGCAAATGTCAGGGATGTTCATTACAACAGGTAGGATAGTTTCTTGGTAAAAAAAAGTCTATAGATATATCAATTCAATAAATATTTATTAAGAGCTATTATGTATCAATATAAATTTCCAGTAAATGACACTTATGGAATCTAGGTTTTATGGATAATTTGTCAGATTTAAAATAACCACACAATTTCATAAGTGATTATTATCATTTTCACCTTATGTGAACATGATCTAGTAGCTTTTAGTTCATTTTCAATTATTTTTCACCATTCAAAATAAAACAAACTCAAATTTTATTTTAAAATAGAATTTATTGAATACCATAGTGAATTCAATACATTAAAAAAAACTGCTTTTCTTGTCAGTATTGGCACATAAGGAAGTTTTAAAGCACTGCCAGATTAACACTTCAAAAAATTTTAAATCATGTTCCATAAAAAAATAAAGCCTAGTAGTGCTATAAAAGTACTAATTTACACTAACATATCAAAGTGTTAAAAGAAAAGAATTTCACACTCAAACCTCCATCTAAGAAGTAAAAATTCAATCATGTACTTTAAAAAAGGTTCTCATATGATCAAAAGACAACAGAAGGTATAAAACAAGCAAAACCCACCTAATTTACATTGACTTGTCTCATTGGGAAATCTCAAGGCTAACCAGATAAACTTTAGATACTGAAAAAAAAATCCATATTCCAAAGCAAAATAAGTTGTTTACTTTTTATGCCTAATCAAAGAAACAAATAATGACATTAAATATTCCACATTTTTTTCTTTTAGTTGCCCCTTAATTGCAAATAATGTAGGAGTATTCTAAAAAATTTAGTTAAAAAATTTTCCCCAATGAACATTTTCTTAGATACAAAAAGCTGTCCTTATGGAAACATTAAACAAGAAAATTTACATATATGATTTTCACTGTAATATGGCCTGTATATTACTCTTATAAATCATTTTGTTTACTCTGAAAATTCAGTAATCCAAATTGTGAGTACTACATAATTTCTTTCAAATTCCAAAAGGTTAAGTCATTTGATTCAGATTTCTTGAATTTATAGAGTATCTTTCTTCCAGGAAGCATAAACTGATTTTTACTCAGTATTTTGATTTTATTTTCATGACCCTCCCCTACCTCCTTTAGAATTACCTCTGAGGTAAATAGAGCACTGAAAATAAATTTTTTAAACTGTAAAACAGGTTGTTTGGCATAACAACCTTTTTCCTTGTTAATGGGAAAATAAAAGCCTTTCAAACTAGTACAATCCACTAGTCTGAAAAGCAATTCCTGTTTGTGAAGTCTCATTAGCTGAGATCAAGTTGACATTTTAGAGACCAAACTTAAATAAATTAGTTTCTGCTTATATCTAAGGCAGAAATTAAAAAAACAAAGGAAAACAGGAAAGCTCATTTGTATTTACTCTAAATGTACCATTTCATCAAAATCTCTATGAACATGTTACTAAAATCAATGAATGCCAACAGCAGATGGGTTAAAATTTTCTTCCTTCAAAAGAGAAATAAATTGCCGAGTCTACTAATAAGGTATTGCTAATCCAAAAAAAAAATCTACAAGCTAGAAGGAAACATAACGTTGTAAAATATCAAAGTCCTTTCCCACAAACTTCATATTTATCTTTGCTGAACTAAACTGAAGTAAAAATCATTGACTTTACAATTTGAGGTATTTAATAATTTGTTTGATAAACTACAAAAATGTTCATAAGGAATTTCTCAGACTTTTTTTTTTTTTTTGCAGTAAGTAATCTCCTACAATATATCTTATTGTTTTAAAGACATGTTTAGGAAAAAAACAAACTTCTCTTCCCCTTAAAGTTATTGCTGGTGGGAGGGCAAGAGAGGAAGAAATGATACAGTCTTCTAAAGCCAAATTTCCATCTCCGTTATCTTTTGCTTATATTTTGATTCCCCAAATAAAATATTTCTGCACTTTATTGTAATTTCCATAAATATTTTCAGTTCAGTTGCTAGAAGGACTAAGTACAATATAAAGTTGATATTGAAGATGGAGAAACTTAAGAAATTTCACTTTTTATGTTATTTCTATTTAATTTGTAAGATTTAAACAGCAAACTAGAACAAGGTTATACCTTCTTGACAACTAATGGTTGGATAAAGTAGAATTTGCATCAAAGAATTAAGATTCCAGACTTCTAGATGTAAAATTTTCTCTTAACATTCTTCATAAAATATGGTTGAGGCTCTTGAATATTCTAAAGCTGGGATAAGAGTGCAGATAATTTTACTTAAAAAAGCTGTATTTTGGCAAACATTTTATTGATATTATAAATGAAAATATAGTTGGAGCTTTAACATGGCACTTAATCTGTTCTCTCTATCAGAGTCTGCCAAATAAATTAAATTCTTTGGAAAAAATTCAAACTTTATATTATAGAGGCAAAATCAGCATGAACTCTTACTTGTCAGATACTTATTTGTCATTTGCCATAAACCAAATGACCCATAAGTGTATTAAGTAGAAAGAAGGGCTGACTGTCAAGGGAGCTTCTACATCTATAAATTACTCAGCAACTTAACAATTAATCAAAAGCATCTAATTCCCTCAAATACTAAATTTAGTTCAAACATCAAAGGTCTGATCCATTTTTAAAGGTATTAGCTTTATCTTTTAATCAGTTAAGCTGGCCTTAGGATGAAAAATCATGGATTTGTTCACATATCTTGTACATTATTCACAGAGAGATACAAAATCCTGCTGTCTTTGCAATCACTTTTCATTTGGGAATTTCTTAGAGAAAATAAAAGAAAATGGAAAGATAATGTGACCTATGACTCCCAGGATAATGTTCAAGTCCACATCTGAGATTTAGCAAAGAATGAGAAAGATTTTTTCAAGTTGGAAGATACCAAAGTGATTAGTTGGTCTAACATACTCATTTTGCAGATGAGAAAGCTGAGATACAGTTTTATTAAGCTAATAAAATTTACTCAAACTCTTGTAATTAAATTGAGACTAACACCCAGTCTCCTGTCTTCTGTCTCCAATTCTTTTCTCTGAAGCACACTTTGTATATTAGTAAACCATTCTCCATCCAAATTTTAAAAAGTTAACAGTGGTTTCCTATGGAGAAAGGAGTAGGGATCAGGGAGAAAAAAAGGTAGGGGAGGGGATTATTAGGGTTGTTAACACTCAATGAGTCATATGTATTAATACATAATTTAATAAGAAAAATAATTTTTACAAAATATTAAGTCTTAACATTAGCAGAACCAAACTTCAGAGATCAGAAATACCATAGTGGAATTAAATGTTAGTTTAGAAATTTAAGCTACATCTTCAAGGAAACAGCAGAACTGAAAACTGTGGATTTCAGTTTTTGTTTCCTTTTAATGACTAGTTCTATATATTATGTTTCTCTATATCTGGAAAAATATTCTAATATAATACATATGTAGTCTGAAGTAATTTAGGTTCTCAAGTTTAAAAAAGGATTGGGATTTTTTTAAACTTATGCTACAAAAATACACATTTATATATATTCCCAAATTACATATTTCTAACCTCTGCAGTGATAAAAGCTTCTAAAATTCCATTGCTGAACTGCCTTCTTACATGGTCTTAAACAGTTATTTCTATAGAGCATAAAATTTGCATAATTATTTACAGTAAAATCTGCTCAGAAATTCACTTTGACAAATACTTTTAACTATCATTAGAGTTGAAAGAAAGAGATTTCAGTAAGAAAAGTACAGGGGTGGGTGAAGACTTTTTTTTTAGAAAAATATACTGTATATATCACATCTTGAAAATTACACAGACCATATGCTTTTATTTAATGTGAAGGCACAACTTTAATGTAGTTAAAAGCAAATGTATTTTAATTACTTATCATGTAGTCGTCAGTACCAGCTCTTAAAAATACATATTTGCAAGCACAGCGCTGAAGTTTCTTTCAGATTGTCAATTCAAAAGCCAATTTAAAATGGCCAACTCTATTTGTAGAAAGTCAACTGACACATTATTGCAAGTCCACATAATATTATTATTGGACAATCTGTTCACCAGCAGTCACAGGGTTTTCTTCATTTGTTGCATAGTCCAGATGGTCCATCATCTAGGCATAAATAAAAGATGTTAGGAAATGCAAATTTTCAACTTGCCCCCAGCATTCACTAATTTGGCAAAAGGAGTCTCAGTTTTTAAAAGACACAGAGTGCTCCATGGAACTGAGCACTCCTTTTGGAGCAATGTACTGTTTCAACATCCACACTCCTAAGGAAGGACATGCTCAGGGTGACAATGACTCTTTCAGGAAGCTTAATCATTAGACTAGGGCCAATCTGATAAGTGCTTTCTCTGGATCTTCCACTATTTCCATCTCCCAATATGAATACTGCCCTGCATGGCAGTGGGAATATCCATCACAAGATATTCCTGATGCTTATTCCAGGACACTATTCCAAGCAGAGTCTACTCCTACAAGTGGAAAAACTGAAAATGGCACCACAAATCACTGTGAGAATACCAGCTGGTTCAGGGACAGTATAACCTGGTTGACACCTTGAATTGACCTTAGGATCATTTAAAAATGATACATGAAATATTAAAAAGACTGTATGACAGGGGCTTCCCTGGTGGCGCAGTGGTTGAGAGTCTGCCTGCCGATGCAGGGGACACGGGTTCGTGCCCCGATCCGGGAAGATCCCACATGCCGCAGAGCGGCTAGGCCCGTGAGCCATGGCCACTGAGCCTGCGCTTCCAGAGCCTGTGCTCCGCAGTGGGAGAGGCCACAACAGTGAGAGGCCCGTGAACCACAAAAATAAATAAATAAATAAAAAGACTGTATGACAAAAATTTCTACTAAGGGCAAAGAAATTAAAGTCAAATGATATCTGAAAACAAAAACAAGAATATACTTGCCATAGACTATTTTAGGGGAATTACCAGTTGAACTTCTCTCAAAGGATCACTTCAGTTCCTCCCATATTCTCATAAAAATCTTTGCATGTTTGGGAATGAAGGAAGAAACACTTAAATGTTTTCAGTGTTTTTACCCTGTTCTTCAGATAAAACTAATTAAAAACAGGAAAAAAGGGACTTCCCTGGTGATGCAGTGGTTAAGAATCCACCTGCCAATGCAGGGGACACAGGTTTGAGCCCTGGTCCAGGAAGATCCCACATGCCATGGAGCAACTAAGCTGGTGCACCACAACTACTGAGCCTGCACTCTAGAGCCCATGAGCCACAACTACTGAGCCCACGTGCCACAACTACTGAGCCCACGAGCTGCAAGTACTGAAGCCTGCGCACCAAGAGCCCATGCTCCGCAACAAAGAGAAGCCACTGCAATGAGAAGCCCGCACACCACAACGAAGAGTAGCCCCTGCTCGCCGCAACTAGAGAAAGCCCACGTGCAGCAATGACCCAATGCAGCCAAAAATTAATTAATTAAAAAAAATAAAGTGTGACCTATAAAAAAAATAGGAAAAGAAAAAGTACTTAATGTCTTTCTGAAGATTGGCAAAGATTTTTAGATTGGTGATTAAATTTAAGTATTGTGATGTAGTTTTTCCCTTCTCCTTTACTAAGAAGTAGAAGACAAGCAAGATAAATGTTCCCATTTTTATAAGCTGATTCTAAAAGCTTTAGTGTTTTTTGGAAGAGGAAGCAGAGAGAGCAATAATTTCCAAATGGGGTCTCTGGACGTGCCAGACAAAGAAGAATACAAACATGAGCTGAGGCTTTCAGCTGACAACTGTCTCAAGTAATGGAGACAGCTTATAAAACCCAAACGTGCTGATACTCTGTGAGTCATTTCAAGCCCCTAAACAATCAGTTTTGAGGTCCTCTATTTGCCAAAGATATCCCCTAGATTAATGTAGTTGCATATTCATAGCACTTCTGCAGCAGGTCGGCGGGGGAGCGCATAAAAGCCAAATCAAGATAGGTAACACAAAAGACGAAGTTGTTGAAGAGCTGATTTTAGTCACAATTTAAATGAGAGAGGGAAAGAAGAAGCACATAGGATATATTTAGCCTCCCTCTTTTTCTACAGACACTCCGGTATAAGAGGCTGGAGCTGTGGGGACAGAGAACTGCAGAATGGATGTTGGGGAAAAACCCTCTTTCTTCCCCAAGACCTGCTGATCCTGGTAACTGTAACCTAATGAAATAATAGCCTACATAACTCTAAGTTATAATGTGCCTCTTCTTTCCTAATCCTCTGGTACCTCATTGGCACTGTAATCTAATCTCTAAATATAGAAATATATTAGTTAAAAAGAAAAAAACTTGCAAAATCAACTTATTGAGAAGTGACATCTCTACTCTGTATTTACTTTTCTTTACTGACTTTTAAAAAAAAAACAACACAGAAAAATAAAGAGCAAACTTGAAATAGGATTTTAAAAACACAACAAAAATTAACATAGATAATAAACCAGAAAATTCATGTAAATTTTTTTCTTAATATTTGTAAATAGGCAAGCTCAATTTAGAAGAGATGTTCTCTGAAACTGGGTCGACTAACCTGGCATTTACTGATAGCTCTGAACCAATCTCCAGAAACAGCCTAATAAAATGCTCATTTAAGTGCAGTAACTGGAGAGTTGTTGATACTACAGCAGAGTTGTTCTAAGTATCTCTGTATTCTGACTTGTCAGTTACAGCTTGTGACTTCTCAAAATACTTAGAAGCACTAGTGACATTTAACAGAGACAAACCCACTGTTTACTGGATATTAACAAACTGAAAACTTACTTCCCACCCAGAGTAAAACAGCCCATTGGAGGTTGCTGCATAAATCTAACTCCACTGATTCAGGATTAGAAACAAAAAAATTCTCCCCAAAGGATGATTTCTATTAATTGTTCTATATGCCAAAGTAATTATGCCACCGCCTAATTTTTCTCCTTAGAGAAAAACACCTTAACTTTCTCTACACTCATTATAAAATAAGGGAAATTGAATACTGTAGCTCTTAAAGCACTCCAGAAAAATAGTTCATAAAAAATATAGTGTAAGTAGCTTTGAGCTATAGAAAAGAATATACAATTAAGATTTCCAAACTAGTATCATTTAATGAAATCCTATAGGAAACTTTACTTTTTTGATTAGAGAAATTCATGGAAGGGCTGAATGACTCCAAGTAAAATACTAAAGTATCTCTATGAAGTCTCTAAGTTTCAGCAAAAAACAAGGTATAATTTGCCCTTTGAAAACAGTATAAAAAGGCTATCAGGGCCACCCATGACTTTTAAAAATCTCCAGTGGAAAAGTCCTGCTTTCTACTACTCTTACACTCAATGCTAATATCAGGCATTAGAATGAATCAAATGATAACAGCATAAACAAATGTGCTGTTAGATTCTGATTTTAATTTATATTATTTGCTTTACATTTGATTTTTTTTTTCAAAACAGTAGCAAAAACTTTTGGCACTTGCCAAAAAAATGGTTATATATAAAGACTGTAGAGATATGTCTAGTTCAATGTTTCAAAAGTGCCACACTTTTACAATACCTTATTAACATTTTTGGTAATTTTATGAAGGCTGCTAAAACACAACCCAGAAGCTTACACACACACACAGAAGTGATTAAAGGTCAGTGCCTTAAGGACTGAACATTATAATTGCTTTGCATGAAGAATTTCAATAACATAGACTGAGAATTTACAGTGTATAAAACACTGTTATCAGCACTGTGGGTTCCTAACACCTAGGAGCTAATAACTTAAGTGAGGGAAGCATACACAAATATCTACACTACAAGGCAGGTGTCAATAAGTATTTAAAGTCAAAGTCTAAAGAAAATATGGGGAAAGATGAACCTGATTTCAATTGGAGAACTCTTGGATATCTGCTTGGAGAAGGCAGATTTTGAGTTGGGAGTTATATAAGGGATATTCTGGAAAAAGATAATGGAGGTAGGGGGAGAAGAGGGAAAGGATTATTATACTGTTAGCCAAAGAGATGAACCAGTAATGGCCTGAGGGTTGTCTTCAGGGCTGATTCTCAGGCCTCTCCTACACTAAGTCCATACCTAGTCTCCCTTTATTTTCCCAGGCTTGTTGAGATTCCCTGTTCTATTTCCAAAGCCTCTGCTAGCCTTATCTGATTTCAACATCCACTTGCCTCACTAAGCTTTGGGCTAACCTACCTCTATAGATTAGATTCTCCTACCTCCCTGTAAATCCAACCTCATTTTATGAACGAGGAGTCTTCAGAGATTACATAATTTGCCAGAACTGATGCCAAAGCTATAATATACTGTCTTCCACAAATGACAACATTTGAGCTAAATTAAGTTGGACTTTAAAGGTTGGACAAAAGGAATGAGAGATTTTCTTTTTCACATTAACAGAAGGCATTACATTCTATAACTTTTTAAAAGGAAAAATAGACTCTCTCCTGGCAGCAGTTTATAATATTCTGCAACTAGCTTGCCTACAATTTCAGGAAATGTCCATGCTTAATATTTTCTGTGGGAAAATGACCATGTTTAACAAAATCTTTTCTCTGAGGCTTGTGATGGCCTTTTACAAATAAGTTAAAAGGAAGCAGATTTAACAAAGACACAAAGTTTTAATATCCAAACCAGGAAAGTAGAAATTGGTTAATGAATTGAAAAATAACCACCAAACCAACAAATAAACCAAAACAAGAAAACTCAATTCCTACAAATAATAATAGCAAATACATTTATAGTGCTAACAACGTGCCAGGTACTGTACTAAGCAATTTGCATCTATTACAGCAACCTTCTGAAGCAGGTTGATTATTATCCCATCTTACATTGGAGGAAACTGAGGCACCGAGAAGCTAAGTAACTTGCCTAAGGTCACATGGCTAATAATTAACAAAATCAGAATTCAAACTTAGGCAGTCTGGCACCAGACTCCATGCTTTTTATTACCATGTGGTATTTTATATTCTGAATGTCTTATGTAATAAAATTATGATACCACACTACAAAAGTGAGAAGTGTATTACCAACATTGTCTTATTTTTTGACACTTTAAGATGGATTTTCCTACAATCAACTGTCTTATTTAGCGTCTATGTCTTAGAGTGAAGGCCCTGGAGTCCATCCTTCTGTAACTATTTACTATGGCTTTGTGTCCAGCTGCAATGAATCAGAATCATCATTTCTTTCAAGGTCACAATTTTTAAGAATGAAACTTGAATGGTCCAGGGCAGAGCACTTATTCATAGAGAATATAAATGCATCTCTTGGGTGAAGTCCATTCTTACCTACCATCCCCATTCTCCTCAATAAAAAGCATGGAGAGAGAAAGGAGGAAAGGTGCTATAATAAACCACCCGACCCTTAAAGCTGCATTAAAGGGGAAGGAAAATTTTACAAGTAAAAATAAAATGCTGGTGATGAAAATAACAACAAGCATACTTAATTCTGTAAGATAGTACCATGTGCTCTCATTAACTGTCCCAAATTTAAACTTTAACCCTAAACAAAGTTTCCCCATGTTGCTCATCCTCTTTGTCCTGATTTGCCTCATAATCAGTTAATAAGATAAGTGCCCCTAAAAGGAGAAACCTCTTGGTCACAGTTCTGTCCTGAGCCTTTTCTTCTCCCTCTACATTCTCACTCATGGAGTATGCTAGTGACACTCCCAAATTTCTGTCTCTAGCTAGGCCTGTCTCCTGCATATCAGGAGATGTTTATTCAACTGCTTACTTCTCTTTTCCTGGTAGTCCCATAGGTATTCTGAAATGTCCAACACTGAATTCATCATCTTATCTCTCAAATCTGTTGCCCTTCTTAAACTCAGTGAGTGGCGTCACCATCCACCCACTCAGCTACCCAAGTCAAAAATCTTGGACTCCACTTCCTCTCCCTACACTGAATCTATCACCAGATCACATTAATTATGCCTCTAAATTTCTCTTGACCTTGTTCTCTTCTCTCAATCTCACTACCTTTTTAACTCTGGCTACCACTGCTTCTAATTGTAATAGCTGCCTCAAGTTTTGCTCCCTCCTCCAGTCCATTTTCTAGATTTCTTAAAACTCTTAAAATGGTCTCCAATATTCTTAGGATAGAGTCCAAGCTCTTGAACGTGGCTTACAAGACCCTACAGACTCTTTCCCTTG